CTGGGACCACAGGCACCCACCACAACACCCGGCTATTTTTTGGTTGCAGCCATCATTGTTGTTTGGCGGGCCTGGGCTGGATTCGAACCTGCCACCTTGGGTATATGTGGCTGATGCCTTAGCCACTTGAGCCACAGGCGCCGAGCCTAACATTAAATGTTTAAGAGAAGTGCCCACAACAGTACCTAGCACTCAGTGGACATTCACATTACCAAATCTGCCATGACAACCCTGAACAGAATCACAGAAACTCATTTCTTGGAATTTTTCCCTTTAAAATGACTGGGAGAGTAGGCATACAAGAGTAGCTGCCAAAGACTGGGGCTGCCCCCAAGGGGGCTTCCAGAAGACTTGGCAACACTGTGGGTCAGCCCAGTGCCCCGTGAGTGGGGCAGACAAAGGCTGCTGAGGAGCAAAGATCAGGCACAAGGAGCTAGACAGGTGACTGCTGGGGTCAGGGTGGTAGCCACAAAACAAACCTAATCTGAAACCACCTGGACACATGGGACTCAGCTCCTATAACTAACAGCAAGTGACTCACTGAGAGGCCTTCAGCTTGTTTGAGCCTGTGTTCTGGATGGCATGGCACTCCGTGGGTGCTCAAGAAATACTGCAGCACGGGAGTCAGCCCTGCCTGCTCTGAGTAAGCGTAAGCTGAGGTGGGCCAAGTTACGTTCAGTGATGCTGCAAAGCTTGCCTCAGATGGCTTTCAAAGACCAGCTCCTGACCAGAGGGCTCAGAGGCATTTGGTGACCTGGGCAGCAGGGGATGGAGCAATGCCAGCCCAGGAGATGCAGAAGTTCAGTAGTTGAGAACTGGCTTCTGCTGTTAAAAGTTTTCTATTAATGGAGTCACGCAGGGTATCACGGGCCATACTGTGGATGATCCCTTTTCAGCCTTAACTCCCTCAGAATGTCCCTTCTCTTGATCACTTCCTAGCCAAAACAAATCCACTTTTAAACTTTGAAGCAATTTAAATGTACACAATCAGGAAAGACAAGCTATGCTGAAGACTCATTGTTCTTCAAAGAGATTTTCTATTATATTTAGAATTTCTAAAAAGATATATGCCCATTGAAACAACTCTGGTAGGGGGCAGCCTGGCCCCCTAGAGGGACTAGCCCACAGACAGAATGGAGAACTTGTGCTCAAATAGCCTGAAACCACAACATTCAGCCCAAGGAATTAAGAGACTAGCTGAGTTGCACCGCCCTGGGAGGCCTGACTTACAGGCACATGCTCAAGCCAGCCAAGAGCGCCATACACTTGTCCTTCGCTACTTCTT